TGCGTTGTTTCATCTCATCAACCCATGCTTGCCGTAAAAGGCGACTATGCTTGTCGTAAGAGGCGACTAACGGGATCGATTGGTCAGGCTCGCTGACTTGGTTGATGCATGTCGTCGTATCCCAAATGTGTGGATCGATGCTCATGATGTCAATCACTGGATTGTCTGGTCCAGACTCGATTATTTACAGACCATCGTCATTTTGCTGTGTGTGGCGTTAAACAACAAACAAATATAGGGAAAAGTTGAAAAACTGGAAAAACTCACTAAAGGTGTGTTGTTCCACCAGGACAATGCACCTGTGCTCATGCCTGTTGTCGCCATGGCGCCAATGCATGATTGTGGCCTTGAACTCATTGAACATCCTCCAAATTCATCAGAGTTTGCCACTGTCAGATTTCCACCTGGCTCCAAATTTGAAGAAAGAACTGTCTGGCCACATTTTCAAATGATGATGACATCATTTTTGCTGTGGATGACTTTTTACACCACCAGGAGGAAACCTTCTACGCCTGTGGAATCCAAACACGCCAGCATCTTTTGCAGAAATGTGTGGACTTTGAATGGATTATGTTGAGAAGATATTATCAAGCAGCACCATCAATGCAGTCCATCAAAGTTGGACTCAAGACCTTTTCAGCCACCCCTTGTAAATGTAGACGTTCCTGACAAGGTTGTCTGTTTGATTATTCATTGAAACCATTTTTAGAGTTTAAGTTACAGGAGTTGAAATTACAGGAGAGAATGAGAAGGAAATCAATATTAGATATCAATCAGTATATTCAAATAACTCAAGTCTCATTCAACTGGAAGAGAATTGTGAAGATGACTTTGCCCAGAAAATGTTACTGTTGAATGTGATCAGCATCGAAGAGGTTAAAAAAGCAGAGACTGATATTATAAGTAAATGTTTTATATGGAAGCCAGGCTATATTTTGTTAATATACAATAGCCTTGAAATTTCATGAAATAAGTAAATCATCTATTCATTCCAGACCAATGATAAACAATTTACATTTCAAAATGTTTTCTTAAAAAATAAGCTTTGAAGTTTTGCAATATCATTGATCATCTACTGATTCCAGTCAAAGAAGAAGAAGGTTTATTGTACATAAACACCCACAGGAGGCAGGGTACAAAACATGAACATGACTAATTAAAAACATTGACATTCACAATAGAGTACAAATATTGCTATGATTATATTGCCAGAGAGGAGATGCAGATTTTCTTTGCCTGAACATTTTGTGAATGAAATTGGAGATAATTTTTGCAAAAGGCTCTGGTGGATTTAATAGTATTTTTAGTGATATTGGGAGCATGACGGGTGATGAATTTAGTTCTCAGATCTTTGTAGAGAGGGCATTGCAACAGGAAGTGTTCTCTCATCTTCTATTTCATCCATATCACAGAAGGTACATAATTTTTCTTCTGATGGAGTGTTAAAGTATCTTCCTCTCTCAGATGATAAATATAGATATCAATGAAGTCAAAATGTTGATTTTAAAGATTAGCCCTGTAATTTTATAACATTGTACATTATCCCCAGATTCCAGAAAATCATCTTCATAGTAAGGAAAAAGTGAAGGTTTTGTAACCAGACCATAACCTATGTTCATGTTATACAAATGTTATTTACAAAATGGCCTAGATCTCCCTTCTACCCAAACAGACAGTGATCTGTTGGCCAAAAGAGCAACTCTTTAGTAATTCATCCCAGGTTGCAAATATTTCTTGACAGGAAAGGTGAGGGGTCAGTTGTTACTGATAATAGCCACACCGAGATGCCAGGATCTTCACAATAGCTGGAGGAGATATTCAGGTCTAAATGTGTTTAGCTGACTCAGCCCACTCACTTCCACACAACAGGAGTACTTCCCCCATTGTATGGATTTTGTCACAAATGTTGTTTGGGGGACTGATTTCACCTGACAAAGTGTCAGTTAATGCTGAAGGCTGTCTGATATCTAGGTGATAATAGATAATCAGTTTTTATGATTTCTGACACATTAAATATATTGTGTTGCATGTATTTTGAAGAAAAGGACATAAAAGGCACCACTGTGTTTACGATGTTTAAGATTTTAAAAATTGTAGTTTTGAATTCGACGATTCAAAGATAAATTAGTTGCTTATCCCACTGAAAGACATTTTGATATTTAATATTTCCACAATAGCAAACAGCATGTCATTTTAAATGTGACGAAATAATGAAAAATTAAATATATAAAGTAGAACCTTAATTAAAAAAGATAAAATTCAATATTTATGCTTCAAATGTATCATGTGTTTTACCAAAGTGTTAACATCTAAGACCTGCCCCCCCTTCAGACGTTACCCATTCTCTCAGGTTTACCAAAGTGGTAAAGGTCTGAGACCTGCATCTCCCACATTAAGCTGACATGTCATGATATAATTGGAATACTATTTAAGGCAGAGTTAAACCCAACTCACTCTCTCTCACTCACTCACTCACTCACTCACTCACTCACTCACTCACTCGTCCCTTGAAGATGCCGGGTTGGAATCCAGGTCTTCAGCAACCCATGCTTGTCGTAAGAGGCGACTAAAGTGATTAGGTGGTCAGGGTCGCTGACTTGGTTGATGCATGTCATCATATCCCAATTACGTAGATCAATGCTCATGATGTCAATCATTCGATTGTCTGGTCCAGACTCGATTATTTTCAGACCGCCATCCAGACTCAGCTGGAATATTGCTGAGTTTGGTGTTAAACAACTCACTCACTCACTCACTCACTCACTCATTCACCATTATATAACTGAAATACTATTCAATGCAGCATTCCACCAAACACACTCACACTCACTTTTATCAAATGTAACAAGATTTTTAAAATGGTTTGATATCGTCACCAGTGTTTTAATAATATCATTGCTGCAGGCACACTGACTTAATCTCCCGTGTTGACAAGCACTTATTGGCCTCCGGTTGAATAATCCAGGCTGAACTGATGTATTCTGTCAGTTGGGGATTACCAAGCACTGGTGTGACTGATGATGAACTCTCTGTGGTGAACAACTGCATGTCATCCCAGGTGGAATTAAAGCAGCTGAGGAGCTTACTTTAGTTTCATCATGGTTGTTTTTTACTTCCCCTTGGCCTTGGGTCATAGTTCTTATTTGACCGCCTCCGTGGTCTAGTGGTAGAGCGTCCGCCTGGAGAGCGGAAGGTCCGGGGTTCAATCCCCGACCGCGTCATACCAAAAGACGATAAAAGATGGTACTTGTTGTTACCCTGTCTGGCGCTCGGCACAAAGGGGCTAAAACAAGGACTGGTCGGCTCGGAGTCAGTATACTGTTTCTGAGTGGGGTATTCATGTAAAACTGTGGCATGGTATCTCAGTGAACTAGCACTTTAAATCGGCATCAGTCTGGACTAGTACAAGCAGCCACACACACACACACACACACACACACACACACACACACACACACACACACACACACACACACACACACACGTGCATGCACGTCGCTATATCAGTGCAATAATCTTGGACGCGACGTTAAACCCCATTTCACCTCACCTCACATAATTCTTATTTGAACCTTCTTTGAGATGGTCATCGGAGGCACATGGTTCGGGCTGATAAGAATGAAATTTCAGAAACAGTTACAGTTATGGCACAGTTATATTAATTGGACTTTTTGATTGTGGGTTCCTGTGCAAAATAGATACCCAATGCTCTGTGGTTATGGTTTGGAATTTGGTTGTCGCAATGGTTGTGTGTCTGTAAGCTGGTGACTTTCAGGAAAAACAACCTCCTGACTGCAACCAAACTGTTACATTGTGTCACTGGTCACAATGGTTGTGAGACTGTAAGTTGGTGTGTTTCAGTGAAGACAACCTCCTGACTGCAACAAAACTGTTACATTGTGTCACTGGTCACAATGGTTGTGTGACTGTAAGCTGGTGACTTTCAGGGAAGACAACCTCCTGACTGCAACCAAACTGTTACATTGTGTCACTGGTCACAATGGTTGTGAGACTGTAAGTTGGTGTGTTTCAGTGAAGACAACCTCCTGACTGCAACAAAACTGTTACATTGTGTCACTGATCACAATGGTTGTGAGACTGTAAGTTGGTGTGTTTCAGTGAAGACAACCTCCTGACTGCAACCAAACTGTTACATTGTGTCACTGGTCACAATGGTTGGGTGACTGTAAGCTGGTGACTTTCAGGAAAAACAACCTCCTGACTGCAACCAAACTGTAATATTGTGTCACTGGTCACAATGGTTGCGTGACTGTAAGCTGGTGACTTTCAGGAAAAACAACCTCCTGACTGCAACCAAACTGTTACATTGTGTCACTGGTCACAATGGTTGCGTGACTGTAAGCTGGTGACTTTCAGGGATGACAACCTCCTGACTGCAACCAAACTGGTACATTGTGTCACTGGTCACAATGGCTGTATGATATGACTGTAAGCTGGTGTGTTTCAGAGAAGACAACCACCTGACTCCAACCACAGTGATAAATTATGTTACATGTACTACATCACATGTGTGATGTGCATGACTCAAATTGGGAGGAAAATGAAAGATATGTTTTATGTGAAACATACAACTACAATAACTTGAATATTTTTCTGTTATAAAGTATGAAGTTTTTTTGAAGATAAAGATTACTTTCATGTGTTGTAACCATGCTGGGTCAGTTAAATGAGTCAGTTATCTCTTTTGATGTATTAAAGATTCTTCTCCAAAATATAGTATACGATGTGTGCTATTTTTTGGAGGGTGGGAACGTGAAACTATTGCAAGTGGATTTCTGATGCAGGTCACACATCCCAAAATTCCCATGCAGGTTTATAATAGGTTTACAAGTCTACACTTCTTCAGTATAAGGTCTGAATTGAAGAGCTTCATTGGGCTCCTTTGTATGAAGAATTGAACAAATTAAATGTTTATGTAGTGGTTCAGTGTTTGGTTCTGTTCATGTCGATGGCGCTACATTTGGACCTGTCTCTTCCAGAGGATGGCGAGGATGACCTGTCGGAGCCGCTCCTGAACTCGGGGATTCTGGAGGATGTTCTCAAGCTGCTCATCAACTCCTCCGACTCCAGCTTCACGTCCAAGTGTGCCCAACTGGTGGCAGAGTTGGCCAAAACAGGTCAGAAATAGGGTCAAGCTGAGGCTTTAAAATGCAATTTTCTCCCCAAACATTTTCTTCATTTGTTGGATCACAGATCCACTGACCCTAATTTCAACAATTATGGATTTTGTTCTGCAGTGTGTTTTTTTCTGTGGTGTGACACTCGCAATAATGTTTTATAATTGGTCAGTGTGGATCTTTTTAAAGATAAATCATCAGTGACACTTATATAATATTCAAATTTTATACTGATATTTCGACAAATCAATTGGTTGCTCCTTAGTCTACTAAGAGAAGCCAACATTTTGCTGCACACTTGCACAGTTAAGAAATCTAAGTTTGTTTATTGAGGCTGATGTCAAAGATTTATTCTCTCTGATGATATGTTACTTTTGGCAGAAAAAATCTGTGATCCAACAAATATTTTACAAGCATCAAACAAACTGACTAGGGTTAGCTGGCCATATTGCATCACAGGTGATATATATAGGAAAGCCTTGTATGAAATTCAATGATTGGTCAGTTACACTAAATGTGTAATCCTTGGACTATCTCATCCTTGATTATCACGTCTCCATCCTATAATGGTGTATTACCTGGACACATTGACCATCATAGTTTAATACAGAGACTGATTCAAATGACACAACTCTAAAAATAGCTGTCCAATCAAATTATATTGTTCCTTCATGGTATGTGCAGCAATATCACCAGTACATGACCAGCATTGCTCCTCTCTTACTCAAACACAACTGGGAACATCTTACAGTCGTCACTTCCTTGCCCATCTTTATTCTCATGAAAACGTCTTTTCCAGCTAAAATTTCTTTTAGAACTGTCTTCATTTTTCAGTAAAGACATTGAGAGGTTGCTTGTACGCAGCCGAATCTGAATGTGGAAGTTGAATTGGTTGTTGATTTCAAGGTTAAGGTATTATGTTAGTGACAGGAGAGTTGGATATGGTGATGTGGATAGGCTGTGGTGGAGAATATATCCAGGGCAGCCTCTAAGTAGCCACCATTTTGGTGTCCAAATGCGACTCAGTCAATGATTGGCGACCTAAATTTATCTACTGCTGACCCATTGGCAACCTAAAAGTAAATGACAATATCTGTTTAGATATCTGTTGGCTCCAAAAAACTTAGGTTTGGCTCCTAAAAATATTCATGTTAGGAGCCACTTGGCTCCCGAACAAAAAATCGAACTTAGAGGGCCGATCCTGGGTATGTATCATAATAGAATAGAGATGTAATGTACTAAATAATCAAGGATAGGACCATCCTGGCACATCTCTGTCATCTTCTATGGTCTTCTGGTACAGTCAGTGTTTGTCCCGACCTGTGAAGATGCGGGGTAGAATAGGTCCTGTTAGTCCCCTTTTACGACAAGCATAGTCACCTTTTACGGCAAGCATGGGTTGCTGAAGACCTATTCTACCCCTGATCTTCGGGACACAGTACTTAAACATTATATGGTTGAAAATGAAAGGGTCCCATGGTTTGTTTTTTTTATCTGGGTGCAAGATGTTTGTTAGCTCAGCTATAAAGAGGATGTTGATGTGCTGTGTGTGAGTATCCCATGAAAACTGTCCTCCACTGCAGAGTCACTGAGGGGCCCGCTGGTGGAGAGGGGGTTTGTGCCACCCCTGCTGCAGCTGCTGAATGACAAGGATGTTCAACTGGCCACCCAGGGGTGTCGGGCCCTTGGCAACATCTGCTATGACAATGGTAGGTCACTCTTCACTTGTAGATTCTGCTGTCGTCTCCTTGTACACTGTATCAGAATATGTATCTTGATACTTTGTTCAGCGTATGATATATAATCATTATACACTGTTTCAAAGTAAATTGGTTTGAATATGTCATGAAACGATACATTGAAAACATGGTATGTACCACAATACTATTTCATGGTAAGTTGGTGTGAATATATCATACTCTTAGTTGGACAACTGCTGATGTTTTTTCAACATTTATACTTTTTGATGTAAAGTGTGCAAGTAATGTCACGTTAAGACAACACCCACACATGGTGAGACTGAAAAATAAATAATAAAGCTACAATGTAAATCAGAGTTAATTGAAGACTAATCAATCTTGAAATGATTAAAACAATTTCTGAAACAGTACATATTGATGCAGAATGAATGTGGGATGATACACTGAAGCATCGGTGGATCGCGATTTTTTACACTCACACTCAGTAAAAAGTATGGATTCTTAGCTGACATGTATTCTTTAATAAATGTTACGGAATAGTAGTGAAAATGATCAGTGAAAACGTAAATATTTTCATCCATTGCCCCATACTTGACACTGCCAATTGTAAATTGTCAGTGTGTAAGGTATTTGGCAATTCTGTCTATGAAAAAGATGGCTTACACACCACAGATAAGATCACATGCAAGTATCATGAGACGTACCAGATCGTTAGCATTGTTTCGTGATATGTATCGGATCGCACAGTTGGTGTATCATCCCAGCCCTATTGTCTATGTATCTTTGAGATTACTATCACAGTGTGACGGTACATAGGTGAACTGCTTCAGCCTCAGGCCTGCTGAGGAAACTTTGTAGAAATACAATGTACAGCATTATTTATGAAACACTAACAGGAGGTAGACTGACATTTAGTCTCAGAAATAAAGTTATCTTATTTAAAATTGTATATACAAATGAAAAATAAGACCCATACGGAGCCCTGAACAATGCTTAGAGCTGAGGCAATCTAGACTTGCCAAATCATTCTAGACTTGAGTTGGATTAATTTTATTCTCTAGGGTCTGGATGAGGTGAGGTGAAATGGGGTTTAACATCGCATCCAAGATTACTGCACTTATGTAGCAACGTGCATGTACGTGTGTGTGTGTGTGTGTGTGCGTGTGCGTGTGCGTGCGCGTGCGTGTGCGCCAGTCTGGATTGATGCCGATTTATAGTGCTAGCACTCTGAGATACCATGCCGCAGTTTAACATGAATACCCCACTCAGACACAGTATACTGACTCCGAACCGACCAGTCCTTGTTTTAGCCCCTTAAAGCCGGGCGCCGGACAGGGTAACAACAAGTACCATCTTTTAAAGTCTTTTGGTAATACTCTGTAAAGGTCAACAAATATTACCTCCCAACATTGTAGCATTGTGGGGCATGAATGACCAACACAGTATTTACATATACGACCACAAGAAGCTACAAGGTACAAGGATGTAACCTGGATCTAAGGCTATGAACGTGTCAGTTGACATATATAAATGGGCATTTGCTAAACTGCAGAGAAACTGAATTTGTCAGAACAAGGATTTTCTCTCGAAGAATCATGTGGTCACATGAATATAAATGTACACTGCAGTCATGCTGTAACACGGCTTACGTCTCAAGCTCAGGCAGTTTTTTTACATTGCGTATGATACTTCAAATGACTTACATGCTAGGCAATCTATGACATGGTTGGTGCATAATTCATCAATTATGGTGATGCATGCTACCATTTGAAAGCTATCTAAACCATAGCTAAAGCATTTGTCATTACATTCAAGTCTTGGCAATCATGAGATGCAGCCTTTTTTTAGAAGAGTCAATGTTGCCATTTCTGACATCAACATAAATGTACTCTACAGCACTGTGATGATGTACAGCGGGCCTGGGTGTTTTGTTGTAAACATGAAAATACATGAGCGCACATCCTCTACAAGTAAAAACTTCAGGAAACAGACTTTCCCTGGAGGAAACAGTGATGTATGCTTCAGCAGCAGTGGGAGGAAGCTGCAGGGAGGATGTCTGTTACCAGGGAAATGTCTTCCTCTAAATTAACCTCCCTCCATAGCTACACTGTAGCTGATACCATTGATGTCTGTTACCATGGAAATGTCTTCCTCGAAATTAACCTCCCTCCCTTGCTTACACTGTAGCTGTTACCATGGATATCTATTATCATAGATTTCTGTATCCATGGAAATGTATTCACTACATTCATCTCCTTCCCTAGCTACACTGTAGCTGTTACCATGGATATCTATTATCATAGATTTCTGTATCCATGGAAATGTATTCACTACATTCATCTCCTTCCCTAGCTACACTGTAGCTGTTACCATAGCTAACTGTTACCATGGAGAAACTGAAATTCTCTGAAATATGAAAAATTATACTTCCAAGTTGTATTCAACATATATAGCCTTGTTGACGTACCGTATTCGACGTAATAAGCGCCCAGGGTGCTCTCAAAATTAGAAATAGGGGGCTCTTATTAGAATATTATTTTGGTGAAAAAAAAAGAATAGAACAATCGTAAATTTAGTGGTTTATGCTGACAACCTGAATTGTTTATATACGACAGATACATTTTTCCAGGATTTAATTGCCTATAATTAAGGGTGCATATAACACACCAGTGTGTATAATACACAAATAAATAAGTCTTGTGTACATTGATCAATCAGAAGGGGTGCTAATTGAGATTGTTCACTAGCCAATATATCAGCAAATAGCGCCGTGGGCGCTTACTAGAGCGAATACGTTAATAGTGTTTTTGCGTGGTTTCATGTGTAAGATGTCACAAACATTGTGGAAAAGTTAAAATCAGCCCTATCAGAGACTGATAACTAGACATGGCTCATGTTGCAGATATTCTGTTTGTAAAGTATTTGTATTTAGATAACAAGGAAGTCTTAAGGTTTCAATTTCACATCTGATGGCTGCCTGATCAGTTAAAAGAAATGAAGACATCATTTCTGTTGGCTTGGGGCTTCAGCATCACAAACATGCCTTCACACATGAGAATAAAATGTTTTACACAGACACGTAAACACGTCATTTGTCAAGTTGTTCCAGTGAAGCACAAGATCTAGACATGGTTCCTCATTTTACCCATTCATAATGTTATGTGTTGAACATGACCACGTAGAATTTCTAGGAACCTGGTTTTTGGATATCAACTTCTCTTGTTTTGTCTTATTCACCTGATAAAGGAGTTACAGCATGCTGCCAAATGTTGTGGGCCTATCCATAGTGGAAAGCTGGGGTGCAGTTGGTCCTCCTACATAAAGCTGACACTTTCAAAGCGTCATTAAACTCACCACGTAATCGATCTATCTATCTATCTATCTATCTATCTATCTATCTATCTATCTATCTATCTATCTATCTATCTATCTATTATTAAATTAATGAAGTCCAACTTCATACCCATTGTAGTTGTGGACCATTTAGAGAATCACATAAAACCTTTCTTGCAATCTTTCAAAAGGAAATATCAATATTTTACATCTTTTCAGGGAAAGAAGACATATAATTCTTTAGTCCCTTCCTGTTTTGAAGATTATCAGCATGAAAAGTTTCTTACTGAGCAAAATAAAATGATCAGATACCTCCCATAGTTTTGGTAAGAGATGTGCACAAGCAATGTTTTGTTCATTTGTAATGTATTTTGGTGGAAGAGTGTTGTTTATTACAGTCAAGCCGCTAGCATTACACGTCAGTTGGAATTCAAATCTCGCACAGCCCACAGTATCTCCAGCATATTTTGTATGAAGACTGTCAACACAGTCAGTAATTAGACACACACAAGCCTTTGAAGTGGCCCCTTATTTTACGCCCCTCACATTTACTGTAGGAATCAGTCAGTCTCTGGACTAGACAGACACACAGGGATTTCATGTTTATGGTTTATTATTTCAAGAATAATATTGGCTTGGGCTTAGTTCAGTGACCGCCTCAGTGGTCTAGTGGTAGAGCGTCCGCCCGAAGAGCAGAAGGTCCGGGGTTCGATCCCCGAACGCGTCATACCAAAAGACATTGAAAGATGATACTTGTTGTTACCCTGTCTGGCGCTCTGCATTAAGGGGCTAAAACAAGGACTGGTCAGCTCAGAGTCAGTATACTGTGTCTGAGTGGGGTATTCATGTTAAACTGCGGCATGGTATCTCAGTGAGCTAGCACTATAAATCGGCATCAGTCCGGACTAGTACAGCCACACACATGCATGCATGTCGCTATATAAGTGCAATAATCTTGGACGCAACGTTAAACCCCATCTCACCTTCGTTCGGTGATTTTCACTCCCGTTGGGTTTTAGGCTGGAGGTATTTTAACCCCACAAGCCTTTCATTATTTGATCAATGTTATGGAAACATTTTTATATTAGGAATGAGGGATTTATTTGTGGCCTTTCTTTATTGTGAATAATTTATGATATGGGACCAGGCATTTATTACAGGATGGGGGTAGGTGCAGACAGTTGTTTGTAAACTACTGTACATGAATGTATGAACATTTCCCAAATGTCCTTTTTTCAGATATTCCTCAAATTGGTCCCCTTCTTCCGTGACCTTACCTTGAAGGTGTAAATCAGCAAAAGACTTTTCTTGAATAATGTATTGGTACAAATAAATATTTCAGAAATAACTGTCCAATTTCATTGTGACCCTCCCCCAAAATCAGTATTCTTTTCATGACTGTCCACTAGACACTGACCTACAGGTTTATTACCCTCCCTGACGTCCTCTGCCCCTATTCATATTCAGAAGCCTCTCAGAGTCTCTTTCTCAAGCAGTGGTTGATACATTTTTGTAGGGAATATGGTCAACATTTTGAAAGTGATTTAAGCATACACTTTTATAATTTTCTTGAAACACTGTAAAGAATCGATTCTGTTTATCACTTTTAATAGCTACAGTAAGCCTGCCTTTAATATAATCCAGTCATCTAAATTCAAAAACAGTTATTCCAAATG